CTGCCCCCCCCCCCCCCCCCCCCCCCCCCGCCCCAAAAAATGTGCTGTTGGCAGTTCTGTTTTCTTAAAATAATGTATGCTCAGAAAAAATGAAAAATCATAGTAACGGAATTAAAATGGGAACTTTGTTAGGGCACTATCTTACAGTGTATAAGGTGAGCATTTGCTCAGTAGTTTGAAAATTTTAAACTTTTCCTGAAAAACAAAACATTTGATTAAAAAAAGAGTGTTTATACTTTGCACAGAAGAAAGATGTATTTGGTTAAAAAAAAGATTTAAATTTAAATGGTGCTTTGGGTTTGTGTAGGATTTTCCATACTGCACTGTGGAGGGATGGTTGGGCTTATCTGTTGCTCTGAAGAAGAGCTATTAAAATTCAATTGTAACAGTTGGAACTTTTCCCAGTTTGAGATCTGTATATGAGATCTGAAGGTCTTAGGGATCTTCCAAAGACAAAGATAATATTTTTACATGTGTAACTGTTGGGTTTTTCTCTCTCCCCTACTCTTCTCCCTTCAGATTGTACAAATCCCTTTCTGTGGGGAAATTGAGTGTGAGGATTGGATCAAGAAGACCACTGCCAGGTAAAATATTATTGAGCTGGAGAGTATATACCAAGATCAAAATCAAAATGTTTTGAATATAAAATAGGAATGCAAGATGCCTTTGGGTAGAACACTTATGTACAGTCTCCTGCTGTCCTACATAATTCAATATATTTACTTCCTTAACTCTGGAACTTTCAGAATAATTAATGTGGTTTTAAGATTTATGTATGATACACTTTATTGCACTTTTATTTTTTAATAGAAATATTTATTTATTAATATATTTATTTATTAATATCCTTTTATTTCAGGGATCAAGATCTTGAGCCTGGTGCTCCATCCATGGGAGCAAAAAGCCTCTGCATACCTTTCCAGCCACTCCGTGAACTCCAGTCTGGAACAAGATGTGTGTGCGGCAAAAACCCTGCCAAGTTCTACACCCTCTTTGGTCGTAGTTACTAAATCACTAGTGAAAGAACCTTCTCCTTTATCTGTGAATTGAACTTTTTTTAATAAGACTGAAATAGCCCCTTAATCTTCAATCGGTTTTGTGACCTTTTTAAATAATTCAAAGACAAAGCCATAAACCATAACCTGGCTCCCCAGTGGTCAGTCTTAGGCTAGCAGTAATTCACAGACTTTTCTGTAAACATCTCCAATAAAATAAAGATGTATTGTGAGCTGCAACATGCTGTGGTGGGTTTTTTCTGTGTTGCTCAGTAGGGAGGAATAGGTATCCTTTGCTCATGTCTTTTTTCTGGTTTGGTGCATGTATTTCCTTGTACATTGAGAAAATGCTTGAAAGGTTGGAGAGAATGTCATAAAAACTACAGTACACTTCAGCATGCTGACATCTACTTTCTAGATAAAACATCTGCTTTTAATTTTGCCTTCAGATTTTTCAGTAGAGACTTGCTGCTGACCTGTAGGCATAGTAATTATTACCTTTAGAAAACTCCCCTCTGAAGCCAGGTGTTTCAAGGAATATTTTCATAAAAACATAGAATCATAAATGGCTTGGAAGAGGGCCTTAAAGATCATCTTGCTCCAATTCCCCTGCCGTGACAGGGACACCTTCCACTAGACCAGGCTGCTCAGAGCACCATCCAGCCTTGAACACTTCCAGGCATGGAGCATCCACAGCTTTCCTGGACAACCTGTTCCAGTGCCTCACCACACTCACATTCAAGAGTTCCTTCCTAGTATCTCATTGAACCTGCCCTCTTTCAATTTAAAGCCATTTCTCCTTATCCTATCACTACCTACCCTTGTAAGTCCCTCTACAGGTTTCTCGCAGGCTCCTTTAGGTACTGGAAAGTGCTCTAAGATCTCCCTGAAGCCTTCTCTGCTCCAGGCTGAGCAACCCCAACTCTCAGCCTGTCTGCACAGGAGAGGTGCTCCATATCTGTGGGTCTCTTTATCACCTTTCTCTGGACTCATTCCAATAGCTCTACATGGTTGTTATGTTGGTGGCCCCAGAGCTGGACACAGCACTCCAGGTGGAGTCTCACAAGAGCAGAGGTAGATGGAAAGAATCACCTCTCAGATTTTCACCCCCTTGTAAAGCAAGTTTGAAAGATTAAATGACACCTTGTAGCAAGGTGCAGGTGGTGGCCATTTCTTGCAGATATTTTGCCAAACTGGCTTTAATGGCTGTCTGACAGTGATACTGCAATGAGTAATGCAAAGGCAGTCTGAAGAGTTAAGTTCAGTGCTAGAGATTTTAGCCTGTGGTTCTACCTACAGCGTGTTTCATAAAACCTTTTTTGCTTTTCCTACCCTTACCAAGTGTTGCTCTAGCAGAGGAGGCTGGATGTTACAGAGTTGTAAAATCATTTTAAAAATAACATCACTTCCACTCTGAGCACAAGATTGGCTTCTAAAAATAAAGAGGTGGCCCTGGCACAAAACAGTGGTTAGATGACACACACTTGATTTACTATTTTCCTCCTGTATGGTTGAAGGCTGTCTACATGAACACCTTTCCCTGAAAAGAGTATAGTGAAAACTTGGTCATTAAAAAGTTGGACCAGTAAGATCCTCCCCAAACTCTTCCTGGCCCAACACTACGTGGCTGCCTGTTTCCAAAAAGCTGGTTTTATGAAGCAGCCATAGTCTAAAGCATGCGGGAGACTTAGAGTGCTATTGCCAGATCTCTATTTTTCAGACGTGCAGAATATTTGCTTTTCCCCAGATTCCTGGGGTCAGCCTTCCTAGTCAAAATTTTGAATATTAAAATTTGAACCTGGCCTGTCCAATTTAAGATCGTGTGCCTTGTGCCCCAGTTTTTCCACAGAAAAGTAAAAAAAAATTTAAATATTTCAGATCAGCTTGCTCAGAGTGCTTGAAACTTGGAAATTCTCTGTAATAGTCTTTGGATTATGGTTAGTCCTGAAGGGTTTACATCAATTGCATCTTAAAATCATCTATCTTCCATTTGTGTAGATATTTTCTCAGGTGTAGTAATGGGCAAAGGATTTAGGGAAGGATTTACCTGTGCATGCATTTATCTTTGGATACAGTTAACAAAGCAGATGAGTGGCCCTAAGGTCTGTATCTTGGTGTGCTGCCTCTAATGCTGGCTGGCATTGTACTTTGAGAAAGAGAGTGAGCAATAACGCCAGAGTGATGTTTTCACAGCCTGAAATGGTGACTAAGAGTAGACTGGAGAGGGATGTCTTAGGGTATAAGAGGCAGGAATGTGCCCAGATTTTTTGGCAGAGCAAACCAGATTTTTAAGAATAAATGAGCACTCGCAGCTCCCACTGAAATGCTCTACAACACCCATATTTTAAAAATCAGATGTGGGAGCTCTTAGTAACTCAGAACAAAGGAAAGGCAAAACTAAATGCATCTTCTGACCTTATCAGTTTGAACAAACAGCCAACCTTCAACCAGTTGACTGGATCAAATCTTCGAGTAAACATGTTGACACACTGTTCTTAGAAATGAGTTGCTATGAGCCTACAAATGGGTTTGTTTGAAGACAGATTTCACAGAAGGCCAGCCTTTTTTCTTTTTTCTTCCCCCCTCTTACTTTTCCTGAACATATTTCTTCCTGATCATAATAGGGCTTGAAGGGTCTGAAATGTTGATACCTCACATGCAGATATCCCTGTGATGATCTTCCACAAGGAGACTAATATTTGCCTGGGAGAGATAACATCCACATCAACCATCCTTTTGCCAAAAGCACAATCTGAGCTATCTGTGAAGCATTATAGAAAAAATCTGTCAGACCCTGAGTAGATTCTATCTGTAAGAAAAACAGGTATATGAATTGGAATAATATACCACTGTTATAATAATAACAGTGTATAGTAATATAACAATATAATAGTGTATAGTAATATAACAGGAATAATATACACCGCTGTTGATTAAGTGATACTGCTTTGTACTGTATTGCAAAATTCCTGATGTTCTTTAGTTCTTATGTACTGATAAATTTGAGTTAAATTGTAAAGGGGGTGTAAGGGAAGTGCCTTAACATTGCGGTAGCAGCTCCTTATTGGAAACAGAGCACAGGTGAACATTTTAGCTCTGCTGCAGAGGGAGTGCTTCATTTATCTCTTGTTTTGGTAATCACAACCTCATGTAAGGCAGGGCTTTTGAGACCGCTGAAGCTTGACCTCGATCCGTACCCACTGAAAGGAGAAGAACTTGAAAAAACATTCTCACCTTTCACGCTCTGTATGAAATAAATTCAGGTAATAAAATAAGTCGTTAAACATCACTTTAATACAAGAAGGGAAAGAAAAACACAGTGGAAATAGCTGGGATGGAAGTGGTGACACAGATGTGAGAAGATGAAAACGAAGATGAGTAAGTGCCAGTTTTCAATGTTGTAATTAGTTCTAGTAATCCACCCTTCCAGGCTTAATGATGTTCTTAAAATGGCAGGAGGAGGGAAACCCTTGAGTTGCAGCTGCAGTGTGTAGGTAGGCAAATGACCAAATGTTAAAAGTTATGTATGTTGGCAGGAAAGACTTCTAACAAACTGGACTTTGAACATAAATATTTTGGCTGTTGAAACCCTGTGAGCAAAAATCCAGATGAAAAGTGGGGGTGGGTGTTTGTTTTTAACCTAAAGTTAATTCCCCTTGGGAATCCTAAGCCCAGCAGGGGCATTTGGTAAGCTCGGGTTATCGATATTATCTTATCTCTCCATGGCTGTACTGCATGTAATTAATGTAATTTCCTTCTGTCCTACCTCGTAACTAACTGTGTGGATATATGTACACACATGGGCATTTTAAATAAAAAGCTGGATCATAAAATTTTCAAGGAAAACGCCTGGTCTTATGGCCCATACTGCCTGGTGTGCCATTAGTGGTAGTTTGTGAGTTTGTGTTAATATGGGGACACTCAGAGCTCAACAAGTACTGCAATGAGTGACAAATAATGTTACTGCTTCAGGATCTATTTTCCAGAAATGGCACAAAGCACAAGCTAGGACGTCAGCAGCTTGAACTTCTGGTTGTGCTTTCCCCAAATCTGACTTTTATGTGCAAGCAAAAGAATTACTTTGAGACAGGTTTTCAAAATGGGAAAAAACAATGTGCTTCGGGTTTATTGTTAAGTCTCAGCTTCCATGTCTATTGGCAGTTTGTTTAGAAAATGGCCTCCAAAATTTCTCCATATACATATACATAAGCAATGTTAAAATGTGCTAAAAGTACAATAAGTTGTTGTATAGTTGTTGTATTAGGTTGCTAAAATGGAAGATGCATCAGTGCAGTTGTCTTTGAAAACTGTTCTATGGACAACATCTTCAGTGAGTCTCACAAGCAGTTCATGTTCACTGTGCTCTTAAAAATCATGTCCACCCAACATGGATTTCAAATGTCTTTTTGCACAGGTGTATAGTAAGATTTTTTCAGTACTAAAATTACTGGCAACAGAAATGGCAGGAACAGATATGAGAGGAGAGTGTTATGCAAAAGAGAGATCTTTTCTAACCACTTAAAATTCTGAGCCCCCTTCTTATGCACTCCTGTCTGGGCCTTACTCAGTTTTTCAGGATACTGACACAGAGTGTAGTAGCAAGTGCTGGTGCTCCCAGTAGTCTTCCTAGGTTTATTTTTGGTTTTGTAGGAAAAAATGCCTCCTGAGGGTGGGACACTCGCAGGACTGGAGCCCTCACAATGTCTTCACATGACAAATCTCGCCGAACTGCCCTTTAAACTGATTTATTGTTTTACTGCTTCTTATAAAAGTGGCTCCCAGGCGTGAGCAGCACTGACAGCTGACGGGCAGGATCACGGGCAGGGAGCTGCTCCCCGCTCCGCGCTGTCTCCGCAGATCCCGGGAGCAAGGGACAGGGATGGGCCGCTACTCGGGCCGCAGCAGCCGCCTCATCCTCATGTGCGTGGTGAGCCTCGCCATTTTCGCCATTGAGATCTCGGTCGCCTACGTGGGCAATTCTCTCTCCTTGGCCTCAGATGCCTTTGCTGTTCTCTCCCACTTGATCTCCATGATCATCGGGCTGGTCGGCGTCCGGTTCAGCCGCGTCAAGTGGCACAAGGCCAGCACGTTCGGCTTCAGCCGGGCAGACGTGCTGGGGGCTTTCGGCAACTCTGTCTTTGCCACCGCGCTCATGTTCAGCATTTTCGTGGAGGCTGTCAAGAGGTTTATCAACCCTCAGAAGACTGAGAAAGCCCTGCTCGTCCTCATTATTGGGGTTT